TAATTCTCAGAACCGGCTTTGGCAACCGAAAAGGGAATTATGTAAATATTGTGTACGATTTAATTTTTTGACACGCTTTTACTAATACTGAGTATTTCTCTTTGGATAATAATTACTTATTATGTGGTGCTTTTATTAGAAATAAAAAGTTAAGTGAAATAATAAAAAATATAATAAAAAGCAACATATAGAAACGAAGATTATACAGTTTACATTATTTTTCTTGTGTATTTACGTATAATATTTCTGTTTTCAAGTGAAAATTCCATTCGGTGAATTGTAGAAAGAACAAACACGATACTTGAAGGAAGGTTATTATCATTTAAGTGCGTGCGAAAATCTAGCTTGTTATAAACAAGTTGATGAATATTTCCTGCTAGTCGAATTTAAAAATATCACGAAGATTAGTTGAGATATTATTTGAGATATAATATGAAGTTTGATACTCTCAACTTTCAACCCCCTTTTTTAACGCCCCTACGACATTGCATTCTTCGCCTCTTGTATAGAATTCTGTTCGCGGTGTCAACGCACCTTCTGCCGTATCGGTTTTTTCATCTGGGTGACACATGCAGGAATAATTCTTTATGTAATAGAAATTCTAAAACGTCAAAAATGAACAGTCACTATTCTACGAGTGGCTCGTAAGAATCGACAGAGCTTTTTCCGAGAAAGAATAATCAAATTATTTCACATCGGCGACTTTTTTTTTTTTATTTACACTAACTACACCGCTTTTTGTTTCAGAGTTTGTTTTCGACAGGACGAACGTCGCCGAAACGAACAAACTGTGCAGCTTGTAGGAAATAAAAAGTTTCACATTAAAATGCAGAACGTTTTATTAGCCATGAACCGCAAGTTATTAGCTCATTGGTGCAGTAAACAAACTGAAGGCCATACTCATGAAAATTGCCTATGCCTGATAAAAAGTCGATGCACTTCTCTTTATATGATGATTGACCGAAAATGCCAGCGAATATGATGCATTGTCTGTAACGCAAGGTCATTGTGAATGTGAATGTTAATGCTGGGCATGGACTCCAGAACCGGACTGATGCGAGATGTAAAATACGCGCCAAAACAAAACACTCGCTTATCCCAGCTTATAAGGTGTACGGGTTAGTATAAAAATCAGCCGGCATTGCGAAACCGAAAGATTTCGTCAAGTATCGCGGGTACACTGAGAGAAAGTGAGCTTTTCTATGTTGTATTATTTTTACTTATATTATAATCATAATCGTCATTCATTCTATCGAATGAAATCAGATTTAAGTTACCGCAACCCAAATTGTTTAGCTAAGAATGTTGCTTTCGGTTTGCGTGGGGTGGTCTTCCTTTTTGAAAATTAATAAACGAAGACCCTGCGCCAAGATTTATTTCCCTCCACAGTAATTATAAGATAATAAGTCGTGAGTAAACAAGTAATTATCACACATTTTTCAAGCCAAAGGTCACTAGCTATTATATATTGTGGGGGGTTCAGATAATGAATATTATGAAGCCGATTTGTTTGAGTTTCTATTTTTTGCAGTGGTAATAGTAGCGATAGCCACATCAAACGATCTAATAATGTTATTTATTGCATTTCAAATTGAAAACATTACAATGTCTTATACGGATTTATCGTTATGGTAAATAGTAAAAATTTTCGTGTAATAAAATAACATACGACATGTTTTGTCCTCTAGGTCACCTCGTTTCATCAAGACCAACGATTTGATAATTTACTTTCTCTCTAAATATAAGAAGGATTGCCTCATAAGAATTATTTATTGATAAAGTTATATCTGCATTGTATTGAATGTTGCAATTCAATTAACGAATAATAAATTATTAAGCCATGAAAAATAAATAATAATCCATTGTGTTTTTAAATCCAATTATAGACAAGGAAAAATTTCCAGTGACCTTACTGAATTACCTGAAACATACATATATGTATATATACAGGGTGTTATATTCTATGATATTTTTGTCACTGCTCTTCTTAAAGTCTTGTTTTCACTAAAACTGAACACCTGCTCATTTTAAACGCAATTGTATATTTAATTAGGAACTATTTTATTAAAAATAGCACGGTTGTATCGAAATTTTAGGACTTCATCTTTTTCTTTCATTTGTTAATAAACCAAAAGTCGACTTCACACTCATACTTTTCACTTGTCTCTTTGATAAGTAAAATTAGCTTTCTAATCAACTTATGAAAATATTTTTATGTTTTTGCGTCTAATGTGACATAACACTGGCCGCGGTGATAATATAAGCAAACAAGGACAAAAAAAAAAGACAAAATCGTTTATTTACGACAGTACAATAAATGACACACGACTTACGTAGATTGAGAAAATATTTATATGCCAATGCATTTTGAACAATACGGTTACGTAACAGCATAGTAATTATTTCTACATTATGTAATTATTTAAAAATAAAAACTTATTCTATTACTAATAAATGACAACACCGCAACGTAGAAGAGGATTAGAAGAATACGTAAAACAAATTACCTTCGTTGAATAATAATTTAATATTTAATTCATCATTCGTAAAAAAATTATTCTGAAATTCCAAGCACCTATACATAAAAGAGTCTAATCGAAACTGTAGCAAAAATGGATAGGTATATATATATTAAGTCAATAATATCAACTAAAAATTCTTAGTATTTTTAGTATTAGCACTGTCTTAAATATTAAAATGGCAACAGTTTAACTAACCTTTTGGGATTACATAAAATGATTAAATATAAAGATGCTTTTGACAAAAAATAATTATGTACAAAAAAAACTAATTTCCAATAAAATTATTATATATTTTCATATATCCACAAGAACTAATCTCTAGTAACTATATCATAAGTATATTTAGTTTATGTCTACCCATTTCTGTTAAAGATTAATGAAAAATTATTTTCAACCCAGTTTCAAGTGAATATTTTTATTAGTGTATTAATATCAGAACTATTTCTGAAATTAACATAGTCTGCAAATTTAAATAACTATTGCAGGAATGTTTTAAATCATTACATAATCGTAGACTCTTAAAAGAGTAACATTTTTAGACATGTTAAGAAATCAAAAAAAAAATAAAATGTGGAATAATAATAAAATTAGATTAATTAGAACAATAATTGTAATTTGAATAAAACAAGTAATATGATTAGAATTTCTGAACAATTCTCAATGATTTAAATAAAATCGATACAGTTTTGGGATTACTTAAAATTATGAAATACAATCATGTTTTTAATACAAAAATAATTATGTACGAAAGAACGAATTTCCAATGCAATAATCTGTAGTATACATCATAAGTTTTTTTAAAATAGATGTCTTGATTGATTTTTGTTAAAGATGACTGATAAAATATTTTCAATTCAGTTTTAAATGAATATTTTTATTAATGTACTAATTAATATGTCTGCAAATTAGTTAATTTAAAAAAGTCTTGCACGAATATTTTAAATCATTACATAATAGTAGACTTTTAAAGGAATAAAATTTTTAGACATGTGCAGACACCAAAAGAAAAACGAAATAAAACGTGAAATAATAATAAAATTAGATTAATTAGAATAATAATTGCAATTTAAATGAAACAAATTTCTGAACCATTTTCGATGATTTAAATAAAATCGACACAGTTAACTAATTTGAACCTTTTGGGATTACTTAAAATTATGACGTGTTTTTATAAAAAAAAAGTATGAAAAAAACGAATTTCCAATGAAATAATCTCTAATAACTACATCATAAGTATCCTTAATTAAAGTTCCACTATTTTTGTTAAAAATGAATGATAAAATATTTTCAACTGTTTTAAAAGAATATTGTTATTAATGTATTAATTTCAGAACTACTTCTGACATATCTGCAAATTTGTTAATTTAAAAAAGTATTGCACGAATATTTTAAATCATTACATAATAGTAGACTTTTAAAGGAGTAAAATTTTTAGACATGATAAGAATCCAAAAATAAATGAAACAAAACGTGAAATAATAAAATTAGATTAATCAGAATATGATTTAAATAAAACCGACACAGTTAACTAATTTGAAACTTTTAGGATCACTTAAAATTATGGCATGTTTTTATAAAAAAAAATAATTAAGTACGAAAAAAAAACGAATTTCCAATGAAATAATCTCTAATAACTACATCATAAGTGTTCTTAATTAAAGTCTCAGTATTTTTGTTAAAGATGAATGATAAAATATTTTCAACTCAGTTTTAAATGAATATTTTTATTAATGCATTAATTTCAGAACTACTTCTGACATTAACATAGTGTCTGCAAATTTAAATAAGTATTGCACGAATATTTTAAATCATTACATAATCGTAGACTTTTAAAGAGCAAGGGATTCAATGTCAAAGTTCAGTGTTTCATGGCTTTGTTCATTGACATCTGATTTGAATGATTTAAATTTGTGTTAAAAATGTTATGGAATCGTTTGGCAATTTATCATTACATTGTTTGTTTCGGATAGGGGATAATTTAAGCAGAATAATTTTGCTGGAATTTCCCATAAGATATTTACAAGGTTCATTGTCATGAATAAAAAATAAGTTAAGAAGTTCAATGGAAAGTATAATTGAAGGTGTAACGGTTACAAGTTTAATGAATTTTGATGATTTTGAAAAGGAATAAGAGACCCGGAATGGTTAAAGGAAGAATTGAAAAAACACTCTCCGTTCTGATATAACCCTATTAGCGGTTTTCTAAGCACGATGGTTTCATTTTTATCTGAGAATGCAGTGCAGAAAGTCCCAACTCTAAATTGAGGACACAAACATATTATGTCGTGGTAATCTCACGTAACTACATATTACTTATGCGGCCGCATTTCCTTTGGTCTCCCTTTCTCCGCTTTCTTCGTTTTGCCACTACTTCGCGGACATGTAGGTCACTATCTCAATACTTTTACATCCTCGCTGGTAGCTTGGTCTGCGAATGCATTGGCTTGCACTTACAGTAAAGCTGTAAACTCTGCCGGAATCGGTACAACTCCTCTGTTGGACAACTCGAGGCCACTGCCAGTTCCACTCGTCTAGTGAGATTTCAGACTGTGTCGCGAACTTTTTCAATTTTACTTTTCACTTTGTGCTGTGAGTGACCTAAAGGCCTAATCATTGCTCTTCACCGACCTCAAAGGCCTCCCGGCCCTGCACCGTTTGCCATGCCCATGCGGTCCGATAATGGATTACTGTTTTCACAACCCCCGGGTAAGCCTCTTTCCACGCACTTTTCACTCCATTCTATACAACCATACTTCACTAAACAAATCCCCCTTAACCAAAAATTTATAACATAATCTTTAATCTTTACAAAAGTACCTTTAAAAACATACAAATTTTTCTCTTCCTCTCCAATATACATTACAAAACAACAAATCGAAAATAATTTCACTGCTCTTTCGAAAATATGGTTTATGGGTATTTCTCCCCTGAAACCTGTATCCCGAGAGCTAATCTGACTCTTTTCTCAAAATTTACGACAACATTTAAATTGTAGAGAACTTAGAAAACATGCATGGAAAGTTCTCATCTTCATGAAATTTTATTTCAAATTAAAAGAAAGCAATTTCTTCGAGCACCAACCGAACAAGCTATTTGTCCCTACAGTTGCAAATAGAAAGCTAATAATTTATACATAATTATTATATTATACACAATACCTATGCATGAAAAAATGTACATAGTTTTCTGGAAACCTGTTGGCGATCTAGCCGTCCATAAATGTCATATCTGAAAATATAAAGGACTTAAAAACAATATTTAAGCAAAGCTTTGTGTTCACCGAGTGCTTGTCCTCATTTCATTTACACGTTTGTATTTTTATCTGCCCTAAATGTAACTAAAATAACATTTTAATTTATAATTTGGTCCGACACAATTTACTTACGTTTCGATTAGTAACTTCGAAAGTCATTTTATTTACCATACGCGTGACACAATTTGCACGTTAAATTATTCCCATTTTACGTACAAGGTGGTCGGGAAAAAGTGAACATTTCGAATTTTTCAACGGAAAGATACGTCTGACCACCCGGTAGATGGAGAAAACAAGGTCAAGTGTACTAGCATCACGTGAACAGCTAATGAATGGATTTTATTGGGCGCTAGACGAGACTATGGCTGAAATTAAACTTTAATCATTGCTACTGTTCTGTCTGTCTTTGATTTGCAAAGGAAAAGACCGAAGAAAACTCAAGGTTCTCAGTAGGTGTTTGATATGCCTGACCTAGCACCACATATTTACTAAATTAATGCTGCATAAGTTTATCATAATTTCATGGTAAAATATCACTTTACCTACGATTTCACAAGCTAATAAGCCACTGTACAACTTTGCAAAAAAACGGTAATAAAATGACAACCACTAGCCAGTTTTAAATGCTTTTGTTGAGGGAAAAAATAGTTCGCAGAATATTAAATGTCGTATTCAATTAATAAAAGATAATTTTTTAATTTACAACAGGGTAAGCTGTAAATCTATAATCATTTTCAAGAAACTTGCGTAAACATTTTTAAATAGCATCGCAATTTTTTTTTTTTTACCGTAATGAGGTCGACGACTCCTACACATATAGCTACTTTATTTTAAAATAAATTTCTTATGCAGAAAACACTGCACTTTAATACGCTCATTTTTTGGCATCACGAATGATTTACGGATTATTTAGAAATATATGCACTCGGACTATTTAAAGATTTGGTGAAAGCGAAGTTCAGATAATAAAAATAATACAAGGTACCCAACGATAGCCCGTGAAAAATTAGGAAAATTTCTGTTGGTTCTGAAATTGTTTTTAGTTCTAGAAATACCAGATATTACTGAAAAAAATACATGGATTGTTGCATCAGTACGTAACTTTCCATTTTCTATATTCCAGAAGCTTCGAACGTCATGGCTGTTACAAATTTTCTCTGAATACTGAGGACACTAAGCAAACCGCGTGGCAAGTATTACCACAATTACACAGCGTGTTTCGACAATGCTGTTACGCATTTCTGTAACAGGCAATCCGAAAACGATTTAATCTCTAGAAAAATATATCAGGTATTAATTGTTAAACACTGGAAGAATAGGTACTAACTTTTCTAGTATGTTTCGAAAATGCTGTTACGCATTTCCGTGACAAACAATCTGAAAACGATTCAATCTCTAAATATGCAAAGTGCAACTTAAAAATATATCAGGTATTAATTGTTAAACACTGGAAAACTGGTACCTTTTCTGGCATGTTTCGAAAATGCTGTTACACATTTCTGTGACAGACAATCCGAAGATGATTTAGTCTCTAGATATGCAAGGTGCAACTTGAAAAATATATCAGATATTAATTTTTAAACACTGGAAAAATGTTAAAAATGTTAACTTTTCTAGCATGTTTCTAGATATGCAAAGTGCAAGTTGAAAATATATCAGGTATTAATTGTTAAACACTGGAAAAGTTGTAACTGTTGTAGCATGCTTCGAAAATGCTGTTACGCATTTCTGTGACAGACAATCCTAAAACGATTTAACCTCTAGATATGCAAGTTTCAACCTGAAAAATATATCAGGTAGTAATTGTTAAACACTAGAAAACTGGTAACTTTTCTAGCATGTTTCGGAAATGTTATTACGCATTTCTATGACAGACAATCCGAAAACAATTTAATCTCCAGACATGCAAGGGGCAACTTGAAAATATGTCAAGTATTAATTGTTAAATACTAGAAAATTGGTAACATTTCTAGTATGTTTCGAAAATGCTGTTACGCATTTCTGTGACAGACAATCCGAAGACGGATTGATCTCTACATATGCAAGGTACAACATGAAAAATATATCAGATATTAATTGTTAAACACTGGAAAACTGGTAACTTTTCTCAGTAACAATCCGAAGACGATTTAATCTCTAGATATTCAAGGTCCAACTTGAAAAATATGTCAGGTATTAATTGTTAAACACTAGAAAATTGGTAACATTTCTAGCATGTTTCGAAAATGCTGTTACGTATTTCTGTAACAGACAACCGCAGACGATTTAATTCCTAGATATACAAGGTGCAGCTTGAAAAATATATAAGGTATTAATTGTTAAACGCTAGAAAATTGGTAACTTTTCTAGCATGTTTCGAAAATGCTGTTACGCATTTCTATGACAGACAATCCAAAGACGACTTAATTTCTAGATATACAAGGTGCAACTTAAAAAATATGTCAGATATTAATTGTTATACACTGTTTAAATTGAATTTTTAAATGCATCTAAAAATTTAAGCAGAAATGGCTTGAGTATTACATTTTTCAAAACATTGGTACTTTTGCATTTCCAGATGTCAAAAAAAGCTGACTATGCTACCTAAAATTTTAATTGCATCGAACAAAATTCTACAGGTGTAAAAATAAATGTCGGAAATCAAGGATTTTTGGATCTAACTGATTAAGATCCAAAGAGTGACGTAGCCATGCTACGGTGGCTTCTGAATTATTTTCACGGTGTTTTTAAGCGAGATAAAATTAAATGAATTTTCTACGTGCTTTCGAAAAAAACTAGTAACATATGTTAGGTGCTATCTGGGACTTTATCCGGTATTTTCAATTACCTAAAGTGGATTACTACAGTATAAGTACCTTAACTGATAAAATATATTTACTTTTTATCATATTATGAAATATTTTTCTATTGTTATGTATTATCGACGTTATTTAATTTTTGATATAATCCAGTATATTATCATGGGGTACCCGAAAGGAGAAACAACGTAGACATTTTGTCTCAGATAAAGAACACTTACTAACAAACACCTAGTCATTATCGTTAGATGCTTATAATTTTTATCATCTCAAACAAAGGGTGGTCAAAACAAATATTTATATCTAAATATACACGTATCCTTTGTGACGTCACTTATAGATTAAAGAAAGTGGAAAACAACAAACACAAACAACAATGCGCATCTGAAAAATAGTGGGCTTAAGTATTTGAAATCGAAAATACGTTGCAATAAAATTCCGTGACCTGTTACTTTGCGACAAGAATAAATTAAAATAGTCGCAAATTTATTAAACCATGACCTTGCTTATAACAAGGATAATTCTAATTATACTCATTTGATATTAAATATGTATTGATTTGTACATGTTTTATATAGGGGTTAACGGTAGGTCAGATAATACTGCTCGAATATCAAAAAATTGTGTCATTGAATCCTGTAAGTTAAATTTAAAAAATAACTACTTATTTGCATTCATTCTTCGAGTAAAGATATTTGTTGTAGCAAATAAATGATTTGAGACAATATTCTGTTATCAGCAGTTGTCAGTTGTCACACAAAGAGAACATCGTATCGTATATCGACACAGACAGCACTGGTGTTAAAACTGCTATATAAATATTAATGAGGGCATTTTTAATCTTTATGAACTTTATTGCAGCATGCTTTTGAAGTATGTAGATCGTATTAATTTTCGGTATTTAATCGAATCCAATAAACCGTTTCCGGCGTGTCTTTATAAAATAAAGAAAATATTTTATAATACCTTTGGATTAATGTGTGCTTAGTGGTAAGAGGTCGACCTCAAAGCGACAAGGTTTGTCGTATTGTGACCTCATATTTGTTAGTTAATTTGTTTCCGGTAACGTTTCTTTACTACAAATAAAGATTTTACGAAAAAAGCTAACCTTGAAACTGAATCATATGTATCATACGGGATTAGTGACTTGTATTACGAAACATTTAAGTTATTTTAATAATATTTTACGTATCAGGTATTTCAGGAAACAAGTATTATGTCATACGGTTTAACTGAATACCATTTAATTCCTGTTTGACGAAATTCTCATCGTTGTTCTTTTTATCTAGAAAAAATCGTAGCAGATAAGTGTGTCATTTACATTATTAAATGTCTTATTCTAAACGGATTTTCCAGAATTGTCATACATTACATTAAACACGATCTGTCTCTACTAGCTTACAGCTGATTACAATTATCTCTAACACCCTATTTCTAAAATTAAAATACTTTTGTCACGTTTGAAAAGTTAGAAAAAGGTTAGAAATCTCGATCTTCAAATCAGAAGATCAATAAAAAATCGGTCGTGATTGGTGTAACTTTTCATGAGATTCTATTCACCCAATCAGCCATAGCATTATCTCGAGCGTAGATGCAACGGTTTGTCATTGTTCATTGTCAACGAATCATTAATATTGGTGACGTCAAGATTTAGG